CATATACAAACATACATACATACACACACACACACATATATATATATATGCACACAAACGTACATACATACATAAATACATAGATCCATACATCCATTCATGCGCACACATAGGCACACACACAAGCATTCATATATATAAATATATAAATATATAACTATATCGATATCTATATCTATATCTAAATCTATATATATATATATATAAATGCAACAATGTTCACAAATGATACAATATTGCAGACATACTGTTTTTCTTCAGCGCAGCAGTTGCCATAGAGAGTCGCAGATTGGCAGGAACACCTTCTACTTGTTTCGAATCGGTGATTAACAAACTGAATGCGTTGGTGCTATCGACAACATTCTGCGAGAATTGCGTTGTGAGATTTGACAGCTCCATGTTGATGCTTTTGTATTTCTCTCGCGCCTCGCCTATAAATGGGTAGGCGATGTATGCACTGGCAGTCAGTATATGCGCAGAAATACACACACATACACATACCAACAGAAACACGCGTCTGTGCCACACACGGGCAAGATTCTGTGAGCATTGTGTTCGTGTTGGTAGTGCCGATAGCCTTATTTAAATGCCCCTGCACGTGTAATTGATACAATGCCGCAGTTTGTACGCTCCTACACGCACCTGGTAGGGTTGCACAGGTATTGCAAACGATACATGCATGTATCGCATGCCCGACTCTCTGACCCATCACACGTCTCTGAGTGTGGCATAAACCTTAAAAACCTAAAGCATATGCCCACAACGGACCGAGAACATCGAATATAAAAACGAACCAAATACTGAATGAAGAAAAAAAGCAGGGGTCGAATACCATTGCCAATGGTTCAATGAATACCATGGCCAATAGTACAATGGTCAACAACCCGTGATGATTCACAGGCACGTAGACAAGGGGAACACTCCCATAGGTAGATATATCAAAGCATATAAAACACTCCTGTAGGTAGATACGGCAATACGTACCCTGTAGGGCAACACCAGCATGGGTCGCATCCCGGATCGCCTGATCAATCACACGCCTCTGAGTGTTTGTCAGAGTGGCGGCCCCCCCCCCTTGGTTTGCGATTGATTCGTATGCTTTAAATAATGTTTCTGACTGTCCATAGGCAGCGAACGTGCTCACCACCTCTCCCTGAACCTCGTCGTAGGCTTTGCGCAAGGCGCTGTCATCGCGGACACCTTTCAGGTGGTTTACTGCCTGTGATATCCAACAGTGTACGTGTATCGATATGTTATGATATGTTGATAAGGATTCAACCATGTATGCATGTATATCAACTTCTGACAGTGGATGGAGGTACGTACGCATGCACGTGGAATTGCTATCTGGGGATGAAGCCTAGACCAACGACATTGATGCTCCCATCAGTCAAAGAGCACCACTTCTCCCTACACCCCGCCCCAGGATTTTTACTGAGCGATGTCGATTCTGTACATTTGAAGTAGTTTAACTGCCTGTGCCATTCGGTGTTGAATACTTGTATTCATGATTTGAGCCGTGTATGTGTCTTCAGTGACTTTGGCTCTAAATTTGCATACGCGTTCACACACGGTTGATTATGTCCAACAGCCCACCTCTCTCAAGGCGTGCGCGACACCAGATATGCGTACGTACAACAAGAAATCACACGACTAATATGTGTATACCAATGGATACCATATATGCGCACACGCACAAGCACAACAGAAGCTGTTGATGCACACAACCCTCCAATACGTTCAATTTGTGATCGACATCACATATGAGTGTATACACCAGGGCATCATGTCTAACCCCTGAAGGTAGGCGTAGTATGATAAGCATCGCAGCCATGTACATACACATGTGCACTGTATGCAATCGACGGGCATTCCCCCATCACACACGCCACACTCACGCGTAACTGGCAGTATATACGCACACACACACACGCTTCCCGAGCGATCTATGTTAATGCCCATCAATCGCATCCAGTATGAGACGGGTGCCAAAGTTTAGTACGAACAAGAGTAGATCTGTTACAATCGACACACATAGTCATACCCCCCAGACACGTTCAATGGCAGTTCCCGCCACCTCTCTCTTGTCCATCACTTCTTCCCATGTCAGGGGGTTGCCCTGTTCGATATTCTTGTTTATGTGCGTTTCCAGCTGATTTAAATAAAGGCACGTTTCAGCATCGAGATAGAAGATGGGTGGTTGACGATGCACAGTATACGCATATTGCGTTGTTCGGAAGTTTGGCGTGACATACATTCGTCCTGAATGTATTTCCGGTTGAATAACATGGTAGTAGTACGTGGTGGTATCGAGAGATAATATGGGTTGTTGATAAAGCACAGTATGATCCACAACGCTGTACGGCATTGAAATGCTGCGTCGCTCAAAATCTTGTTCTGAACAATGGTCTCAACTACAACAGCTGAATATAAATTGCTAGTAGGCAAGAACTACCGACAGACCTATAGCCACAATCCTTCCCTTATGAAAACGTATGCAAAACTAGTAAAAAGTGATGAATCAGAATATGTTAATTCAAAACATAAGGACCGCTCTGGACATGACTGTTGTATTAATTAAACACGTTCCTACAACTATTCAAAGGGATCAATATCGAGATAGTAGAAGATGGGGTACTGATGCGGTACAGTAGGCGGACGTGGCGCTATTATAAGAGTTGGTGTGATGTGTAAACCTACCTAGCCTTGTTCCTAGAAGAATCAATAATGGTAGGTATCAGTATCGAAGTGCAGGTGGTGATGAAACATAGTGCAGAGCAACACACAGGAAGGCAGCACAAGTGGTGCGTCACTCTGTGCGGTCTTCTGATCAATGTCCTCATTCATGAGAGCCTCCAACATAACCAAAAAAGGACACAACACAGCACCCAAAACAATAATGGGTATTGGAGTGCAGAGTATGCAGAATATGCGTTACTAATAAGGATTGGCCTCGAATCAATTCTTAATTAGGTATATAGCATCGAGCCAACAGAATACCGATATACATCAGTACTTAAATTCACTATGGGGGTTCGAGGTTCATAGTCGCGTGGACCGTATCCTCGTAGGTTTGCTCACATTAATGTTCTGCAAAGTATCCGTAGAAGAGTAGTGATACTCTGTACATCGTTCCTGATCACACTGATAATATTGCCATGTCGTACACGTGTGGGGATGGGCTTAGACAAGCATACTGGTCACTATGAGTGAAGATATATATGCGGTTATATGACATTGTACATTGAACACATCCATTGCAAACCTTGTAAGGTTACGCCCGTCTGCACATTTGGGCATGGCATTGTTGGCACACCGCGCATAGATGTTCGATCACGGGCAAACATACTTGTACGAGGACATACGAGAAAGTTTGATGCTTATAGCCCTCACATCTATCAGCTTACAACCCCAAACATATGTACAAAGAGTTTTAGATATTAAATGAAGACTATATACCTAACAGGGTAACTACAGTTAGCAAACATACCTCGTTAATGCGCGTGTTGAAATCATCCAACGCCCATCGCACAGCCGGTACAACATGTTCACCTTTCACACGCGCATACTTGACAAACTCGTCGTTCAGGTTAACCAAGGGGTTTTCACTTAGAACTGATACGTTGGTGTGTGCATTCGTATACGATCTGTACTTGGTGAACAGAACGAAGCGTGATGTCGCTTTGCGACATGTGGATGCGAGCATGTTATTGCATGTAACATGGACAGTTGATAGGTATGTCTATATACCCTGATATAAGATATATCACGTGTAAATGATCGGCTCACTGTGTGTAGACTGCTCAACTACAACAAATAAGTGGTATTGTATATAAAATAAGTAAGCAAATTTGTATATATCTATCTATATATATATATATTTATATGTGTAAATATGTATTTATGCATATACCTATGTATAATTGGATATTTGTATATATATAATATAGAGATACATGTATGCATATATTTACATATATATTATATGCACTGGATGTATGCAACACTTATATCACCGTTTGTACAAGCAAACCACATCCACAGAATGTCCGTTTATATATGCTCTACAATTTATTTTCGAGTTACAGATGTCACACAACTGAACTCAAATGAGCCACGGGATAGTTAGTCATCATTTTCTTAATTTTCGTGAGTCACTGAATTTGAAACACTTCAGAACAGGTCGAGTGTTTGTTACAAATATCATTTCATACTATATATGCGTACATAGATACTCAATACTATGTGTGGAAACATACTGTAAGCAACTTGTATTCTGTATAGATGCGGGTGCTATATCGATAGACATACGCCCGGACATACCTGGATGTAGGAACACTGGGGATAGATCAATGATGATAAATAGGTAGCCATTCCCTGTACAGATGTATTGATACAGTGTGATGACCGTCTCGTTCGCATGAACGATGATTCTGGAAGTTAGTCACGTGTTTCAACTAAGACTGCAGGCATACATACACTGCACATATACACACTTTCACTCATAGATATATGATATTAAACATGTATATACCCGTAGTATTTGAGTAAGTGTCAGTCATACATGCACATACACACAACCCTTGAGAAGTAGTAGCTGCTGTACGTCTTGAGTTTACAATGGCAAACAGAATAGAATCCTGTATCGCTGGATATCTGAAATTGCACGCTCGTAAGCATACGAACAATTTTACAAGAAAACAAGTGGTAAATGTCCAGAACAAACCATACCCTATGACAGGTGCCTGTAGAATTATACAGCCTGCTAGTAACTCTATGACTGGTTGTATACACATACCTACGAGAAAACGAATTGTGAATGTACAGAAGAATATATACTCTAATGTGAGCGCCTGTAAAAATATATGCTCATTTAGTTCCTCTGTGGCATGCTGTCGACGTGCATCTTTCCCAGTCCATAGAAACAAGCACGAAACGTGTACACGTATGTGTGGTATGGTACATGTTTCGCAGATATGTACTCACACAAGTGTAGCTATGCGCACGGGGCCTAGTAAAGTCCTTCAGGGCAGCTCTTTACGATCACAGGCGAGTGTACATCGGTATATAGGTATACAAACATGTACACATACACGTGTATATGCACCACACACAGACATTAGAGCGTTGCACTCAGCTGCAACGAGACGAACACACACATCATTTCCTGTATCTGTGTGTCCTATCATCGGCTCACTAGGTAGTAGTCGGTGGAAACTATACATGCACGCGTATACAATTGCAATTCAACCGTATAGGGCTCTATCAAATGCGACATACAATCAAACACCAGGCGGGGTTGGGACTGGAATAGGTACGCGCGTGCTTTCGGAATACAAAGCTCAACACGAAAGCGTTGGGAAACCTCATGGCACTATATCCGGGTCTACACCTGGATCTGTTAAACCCAGTCAAGCACGGGGTGAGGTTGAAGCTACTTCGAGGGAGAATGCGGCAAAACAAGGACCCACACACATAAACGAGGACTCTCGAGTGAACGAACTGGTTGAGGGCCAGAACACAGGTATACTGCATACTCTGACGTGTCAGCTGCAGAGTGGTGCACTTGTACCTGCACAGTACGAGGACGCCATGCACACCTTCAAATGGTATGAGAAGCCTGATCTCATTCTGAGGCTGCTTGAGACTATGGCTGTAGCACCCCCGCGTGTGTGGCGCAGGGACCTACACTTCCATGTGCCCATGCAGGAGCTGACTAAAGCAGGGATGTACGAGGGTGTGTTACGTGTGAGGGATATTATAAAGCGTGCGTCTAACGAGCGTGGCGTTGCTGATAGCGTGGGTGATCGTATAGCGAACTCCGCGGTGGGGGACACAGAGAGAGAGGCGTACGGGCGAGCGGTACACGAAAGTGCTGCACACACGACAGTGGCCTACGAACGTATTGCACACGCAGACGTACCGCCAGATAGTTCTTCCGTAAGCGGCCTACAGAAGATACTCGGAGAGAATTCCACACGAGTGCGTATACAACCCACGTTAGAAACTACGAACTATGTACTAGTTGCGCTGGGACACCTACGGAAACCTGACAATGCAATGGGCTTAATTCGTCACATGACGAAACAAGAGGAGACTCTCAGGCCCAATAACGAGTCGTACGCTGCAGCCATTAGCGCGTGCGACGTGTTTGGCACGGATATAAATCGCGAGATTGGCAGTGACCGCTCAGTTAGTGGGCTACGTACGTGGACTATTCCTGAGGTCCGAGTAAACGAAAGTCAAGGTATCACTATGATGGGTAGTATAGTGGACAACAACACGGGGGCCAATACCAGTGCACCCCTACGATTACGTTCAACTTTTGGAACGGGCTCTGAAGGGACATACAGACCTACTACCAACGGACGTATTGCAGATCTGGTGCAAGATACAAAACCCAGTTCAGTGACCTCGGGTGCAATCAGTAATCGAAGCAATGATCCCAGGATACGAGGATACCTCTCTGAGATACTAGACGGTGCCCTAGAACGGCGGAAGACTCTGATGGTGCGTGCTCGTGCGGGTACTGGGGAATGTGATGGAGTCAGCGCTTTGGGATGGTTAAGTAAGGGACTGGTACTGTGCAATCGGATGGGTGTGTACAAGACGTCGCAGAGGTATCTGAGAGCGCTAGAGAAGTACTACCCTGAACATATCAGTGCGCGTACCTACATACACGTGGCTAGCACGTGCGTGGATGCTGGCCAGTGGAGGATTGCTGAGCGAATACTGGAAAAAGCTGCCAGTGCTCTTGAAGCCTCTCAACGCATGAACATAAACGGGTCATTAGATTCTGTAACGAACTCTGGAAACGACATGACTTACCTTAGCTATACGCCACTCCACGAGGTGTACGCGGAGATGTGCGCGGAGAGTGCCGTACTAACCAATGTATGGCGTGAATACGAGCAATTCGGCATTCTCAATCTGAAGGGCCATTCTCCTGTGCTGGCCGAAGCTGCGGTAAGAAGCCTTCATCATCGCACGCAGGACCGAGTGCACACAGTGGCGGGTGTGTATGCACATCACACACCCAGCCATAGGCGCTCGGCTGCACTGTACGATATGCTTCGGCGGGAACTGAGTGTGAAGAAAGGGGCGAGGTTGTGGTTTCCTGACGAACTGGCATCGATCAACCCCCCAGGGGAACCGATACAGACAGGAAGTAGCGCTAGCGTTTCAGAATTAAAGGGTAGCGGAGGTATACCTACACACTCACAGGTACAGAATAGCTCGTCAGCAAAGGACACGATATATGGCGCTGGTGAGACATGCGATGCGGCTGGGGAAAAGGGGAACAATGATTCACCCTGTGATGGTGTGCTGAAGCTGTTGAAGGTGTTGATGGACGATATCGGGGTACGGGAGCGCTGGGTGACAACCCCGCGAGAGAAGCAAGGCACTAACACAACCCGTGGCAAGGATAGAATACCGACAGATACCAAGCAAGGATCAGACAGTATTAGCAAGCCATTCGCTGAGAGTAGAGGCGTGCGAACATCAGAAGGGCGAGCAACAGATAGACGGGCGAGAAATCCTGTTCGGGTTCTCGCTGCACAATCGCATGTGGGCTATAGTGGGTCCGGGTTGTCTATTTCAAGGTCGCGCTTGTTGCAATTTGACCTGCGAGACTGGACGATAGCGCAGATCCTGGGCGAAATGGCACGCCTATGTACGGCGCAGAGGAAAGGCGAACGCCTAGGGGAGATCCGCACAGATAAGCATATCAGTGCAAAGGATATGTTGAGGACACACGAGGTCAGTGGACTAGTGCCCGTGGTTAAGGCCATGCTACATCGGAACATGCGGCTAAACTCAAGAGATGAGCTGTCGGTGGGCATGGCTATCCGATTGCAGCAGAAGAACTGGAAGGAGGTTGTGCGCCTATACAATGTGAGCAACGGGGACGAGCTCAGCATCGCACATACCGGGTACGGTATTAGCCGACTCAACTGTATGGGTGGGCTTATCCGAGCCAATCCGCTTGCGGACGACGAAGCATACAACACACTTCTGCAGGCACTCTTACACGGCAGACAGTGGCACGAGGCGGTTAACGTTGTCAAGATCATGCGCGAGCATAGGTGTATGCTGCGCCGAGACTCACTCCTGGAAGACGGGGTGTTCCGGCGGGATACACGGGCGTTCAGTATGGTGGTAACTGGGCTGTGCAAGCAGGCTGAATGGAATACTATGGGCGAGGTTCTGGCGGAGATGCGGAGGTGTGGGGCGAAATGGGATACTAGGACTTTCAACTGCGCCATCTTGCGCGAGGCCCGGGTAGGGGAGAACGGGGGCACGGGTATGGAAATATTTGATGATATGCAGAGTTCTCGGAATGTGTATGCGGATTATGGGACCATGGTGGCGGTGCTGGATATACTGGCAGCCGGGGAAAAGGATAAAGAAGCGGAGGTGGACTCCATGTACGATGAGCTGTGTGACTCTGAGCTACTAAGTGAAATTTGGTTCAGGTACGACACAACCGGGGAGCTGGATGTACGCAAACACTCATCGCGCATGGTGCACGCGGCGGTCAGGCGTGCACTGAGACTGAGGTATGACAGGTTGTATTCACAGGTACATGATCGCCTAGTTGAGCGTCACCAAGCTAAACGGAATGGTGAAGAAGTGGGCACAGGCGATACGAGTGCTTTGGTACACTCGCTAATATATAAGGATGAGCAACTCCGTCGTCCGATTACACTGCAACTCGCGAAGGATAGTAGTATACGCCAGTCGGATAGGGGTGTACAAGGTGCAAGTGTTATAGCCGGTAGACAGCCTTATATGGATAAAACGACGAATGATAGCGTCAGTATGCGCTCAATGGTGAGAAACTGTGATGGCGAATGGGGTCGCGACCAACATGGGAGGGTCTGGACGGTGGGCGATGGTATAGGGGTGGGTGTGCATGGCGCTACAATGGCTGAGGACGTAGCTGCACGCTTAGCGGGAGATATGGACCCCTCCGTGCGCTGTAGTGAAAGTGTGAAGCCGGACGGCTCTCGGGCGTTGGTGATCGCACATATAGATGTCAAGAATTGGCTAGTGGTGAATATCATGAAGGTCCTGAGGAAACTCAGGAATCAGAGTCACTTGACGGGAAACAAAGACGATACTTGAAATTTGTATGCGCTAGTTCGGAATGTGTCTTGTGCTCTCAATTAGGACAGACTTTGGTAAAGAATATGTTGGCGGTGGACATACGAAGTTGCTGATGAAGTCTAGGGGGTGAGGCCACTTGAAAGAAGATAGTGGCGATACTTGTCTTTTTCTGGCTGGGTATGTCTCTTGCCACAATTAAGGCAAAGGTATTCGTATAGGAATATACGAAGGTGCTATTGAGGGATCGAAAACATGTGAAAGAGGATAGGGACGTTACTTATAAGTCATGCAGAATCTCGATGCGATCCACTGCTCAACGTGTCTTGTGGTTAAGTTATGGACACAGATTGTAAGAATTAGCTTTGTAGCGGTGAATACAATAAATCTTAGGATGATTTTCAGAAGCCGAAGCTACCTATTTCAAGTAAACAACTCTGGAACATGTACCTCCACGAGGGAATCCGCAGGACGCTTTGTGTTAACACACATAGATCTCGAGCAATAGCTGGGGCGGCATTGACTGATTGTTGTGTTCACATTCAGAAATTAAAGCCCGTTATATAAAATAGAAATTCTCAATTGCGTGGTGTTCAGACTGATGGGTCTCGTGGTTTGTTTACAGCACCCTGTGAAGCGATAAAGTTGTTCACATAAAAGTGATAATAAAGTGTGGGCACTACAATGAAGATATTTTGGTGCTTTGTCGGTGATGCAGATCGTGTAGTGTTTACCAAATACGTTCGAACGTGTATAGGGGTGCATATAAGGGGGTCTTGGGGCGCAGGCCAAATATTTTCTCGGGCATATTGACATCCAATAGCAAGTGTATCCGCAGGAAGGGATAGTTGTGGAGATCAAATTACATTCGGCAAGGCTATCCTTCAAAACTAGGTCGACGTATTCGTCGTGGAATACTTGTGAATAAAAGTACGATTTGATTATAAAGTCGTTGTCGCCCACTGCTTCCATATTTCTGCCACATCTCATTTTTTATTGTATGTGACAATTTATTACGATATACCAAAGCCGCTGAAACAATCCATGCCTAGCAGCTTGAATACACACCTGGACGATGATCCTACATCCTGAACTTTTGGTCAATATAATCCACTTCTGTTCTATCGACCTTCTTTCCATTTCTCAACAGTTACAGCAGACCCTATACATTATAATCTATATCCCACCAAAGAATGTACATCTATTTTCTTGCTACTCGCTCTTATATATACAATAACATTCACAAACACCTTGTGCCATCTTTCAGCCACACCCCTTCATTTCTTAGCTTTCTTGGTGACCTTGCCCTTGGCTGGCTTGGCCGCAGGCTTTCTCCCGCGTTTAGTACCAGTGGTTGCAGCCGCAGGCTCCGGTGCATCCAACGAAGTCGGCTCTCTCTCAGGATTAATAGGGATATCTCTCACATCCAATCTCTGGATGATCTCCTTCTCCGCCTCACTCTCTTCTCGGGCAATCAGGAAGGTTAAACTAGCCCCCTCACACAGCGCAAACACGTGCAGGCCCTCCACCGCCACTATCTTCTTCGGCTGTGTAGAACTCTTCTGGCCTTCGCCATAACCCAGCTCGCCAAAGCAAGGTGCACCTCCGTATGAGATCACTGAACTTTCGGTTGCTATCACAGTCGAGCTCATACCTTGGCCCATCGCCCTTACTGGCCATCCTTGTAAATCGTATACAGATTTGGGGTACATGTTGGCTTCCCTAACGCCACGAGGTTGTCCCCACATGTAAAGCATCCCTCTGTCCTTCTTGAACGCAAAACTGCATTGCTGTTGGTATCCATGGTATGTGTGATAACAAGTGGCAGAGGATGTTAGCAAATACTCTTTTACCTAAATATCGCGCCATCTCATTCGTAGAGACTGAATGCAGGAATTTCATGCATAGCATATTTCTATCCGAAAGACCGCATATATATATATATGTATATACATATATATATGTGTGTATAAATATGTCATTTATAATATATATATATATATATATACGTGTGTGTGTGCGTATAAATATGTCATTTATAATATATATATATATATCGAGAATGACAAATCGCTCCAGTTTCAAGCTGACATATCCCTACTAAAACGTTGCACCGCAAGATGCCATCCACCACATACTGATGTTGATTCAACACCCCACCAGTCTCGTCCCACAGTCTTGTATCACAGCCATACTCAATCCTATAGAAAAATACGAATACACAACTCAAGACTACCACGGCCACATCCAACCTGTTCCCAAGCAAAGGAGTCAAACTGGTTTCCGAGGCAAACAAATCTTATAGAAATATACGAATACAGAACTCTGACCACAACGACCACCACATATATATTTATGTACAACCTCATGGAACATGCGCACACATAATTCGGTTCAGTTTCATACCTGTCCACAAGAAATGCCATCCATCCCATATTGCGGGCCAATCAATTCCTCCACTAATCTCGGCCTATACTCATCCTTAGGTTCTCGGTGTCCTAAACGTCCATAGCCACCCCAGCCCCAACTGTACACCTTGCCATCGTCAGTAAGTGCAATGGAATGGTTCAATCCACTTGCACACTCTACTAGCTTGATTTCCCCATCACCACTACCAAACCCTTTGACCTTCTTAGGCTTAGGCGATACACCGAAAGTGATGCGATTCGATTTGGCTATAGACTCACCTGTTAGTCCTAGACCCGTCTGGCCATACTGCGCACTACCACAGCAGTATAAACCACCTGATTCAGACACGAACACACTAAACTCAGCACCTGTTGATACGCACACTATCTTCTCATCTATTAGCACCTTCTGGAACTTTGGGTATTCGTTGACCAGTGTGTCTTTGCCCTTGACAACGGAACCTATGCCCAGTTGACCCAGATGGTTCATTCCTGCTGAATATGCCTCTCCATTGTCCAGCAACACAACCGTATGTGTACGACCACAACTCGCATACACCACCTTTCCCTTGCTCGGAATGGCCAATTCAATCGGATGCGGGTGACTTACTAGCACATCCGAGCCCAACTGTCCATTATCGTTGCGTCCCAAACCATAAGCTACTCCACCTTCAGATACAAGTACAGCATGAGCAGCAGCATTACCACTAAAAACAGCCTTAAACTTGGTATCCTGAGGTATTCCATCGAAATGCATGCGTGTAGGTGCCAAGATATGTTCACCTTCTTCATTGCCACCTCTCGCTGCAACTGCTTTGGGGACGTTCTTGCGGCCAATCATATCGAATTGCCATTGTCCACAGAATAAAAGTGTTCCTTTGGTGCATTGTTCGAGTTTAGATGTCGGCTTGTCGTCCGACCCTTCGGAATTTGGTTGTGCCATTATTCCCTATATTCATTTGTGTCTGTGCTGGAGTTAATTCACATCGCATATATATATTTGTAAATATTTACTACTACTGATTGTCGCTGAGCGATGCAGTTTTGCGCTTCATTCATCAGCCATCACCGAGGGTGGACTGGGAGGAACTACGCGGGAAAACCATAGCCTTCTAAAACGACAGAAAACGGTGATTCTCCCGCCTATAGTCGGTTCAATACGTTAATTAAGAGTCTTCAGTCAGTTAGTTCTGTATGTCGATACGTTTATACTTTACTACCCCCCCCCCCCCCCCCCGGTCCAAAGGCCTCGCCCATGTACCATGGAAAAGGATGAACAAAATTTGGGTCTGCATATTAAAACGTTGAACGTCCAGGTATATTTAATTATGCATTCAAAGTTATCAGCGACAAGTCTGAGAGATTGTAAAAAAAAGGTGCAAAACACCGGTTCAATTCCAGTTTTCGACCGATCTTGATTTTCTTTCAAGGAATCAATGGCAGTTCGGTACTATGCTTTTCGTCAAGGGGCTGCAAACCAATAGTATGCAATCAAATTTGGTAACTATGATATAGAGGCACAACTTTTGCTGTAGATGTCAATATTACTTTTGTTAAACTCAGGGGGGGCCTGCTGGATATGCACTATATCTCATTTTAACTTGTGTATACACGCGCATAGCCACATAAGTATGTATTAGACAAATAGAGGACCTCAAGCTTCAAGACAACCTACATCGCTCTGATATACAAGTGAATATGTGTCAAATTCTTCCTATTGCAAGGACGCCGTGTTGAAGTAATCCCTGTTGTAGTCAATCGCCATCACATCGAGAAAGAGTAATTTTCATTTTCTGTTCAGATTTTCCTCCAGCTATTTATTAGAAGCTGTTGCAGGGTGGGATATACGTAGCACTTTGTATACACCAGTGGATTATCCGAGATAAAGATAGTGCGTCACACATAGAGTGATAGAATGATGGTCTTGTCGTTCGTCTATAATTGCCTGCTCGCATTCTGTGTGTGCAGTTTAGTATCACCCGATGCACACAACTATATGGTATCGGCGGAGCACAAGATACTCACCAAAGCACCAATAGGACGTTCTATGCAAGACATACACGGAACAAAGTAAGTACCAAGCTGAATACAAACTTAAGATACAACTTTGGCTGACTTCGAGACAACCCCACAATCGTTTCTATTCTCATGGTTTTGCGAATACACGTAATATATATATATATATATATATATATATATATTATGTATAGTATGTATGTATGTATAT